TGTGTGTGTGTGTGTGTGTGTGTGTGTGTGTGTGTGTGTGTGGTTTTTCCGAGACACAGTTTTTCTGTGTAGCTGTCTTGGTCTGGAACTCACTCTGTCTAGCCTTGAACTCAGAGGTCCGCCTGCCTCTGCCTTCTGAGTGCTGGGATTAAAGGCGTGGGCCACCACACTCGCCTGTTTTAGTAATCTTTTTGATTTTGTCAAAACGGCCCCTGGAACTGTGAGGCTACGCACATTGAGAAAAGATAAGGCTACTGTGATTCATTGACTTACTTATCTATTTAGGCTTAGGTTACTTATAAGTTACTTAGGCTGGCCTCGAATGCCTCACTAGCTGGGATTACGAATTTGTGCCAGCGGACCTGATATAAGTGATTATTTTGGGAGCTAGGAGATAATAGCCATAGCCGGGCGGTGGTGGTGCCCACCTTTAATCCCAGCACTCAGGAAGCAGAGACAGGCGGATCTCTGTGAATTCGAGGCAAGAGCTAATTCCAGGACAGCTAGAACTGTTACAGAGAGAAACCCTGTCTCGAAAAAATCAAAAAAGAAAGGAAGGAAGGAAGGAAGAAAAGAAAAGAATAGCCCTAAAATTTTTGATCTCCTGGGAAGGACATGAAAGCAGAACAGCATATTTTTAATTTAATGTATGGGAATATTTCCCTGTATATATGTATGTGCACAATGTATGTACCAGCTGCACATGGAGGTCAGGGGAGGGCATTGGAGTCCCTAGAATTGGAGTTAAAGAACATTGTGAATGTGGGTGCTGAGAATTGAACTGGGGTCTTCTGTAAGAACAGCAAGTAATTTTTTTTTTCGAGACAGGGTTTCTCTGTAGCTTTGGAGCCTGTCCTGGAACTCACTTTCTTGTCGACCAGGCTGGATTCGAACTCACAGAGATACCCCTGCCTCTGCCTACTGAGTGCTGGGTTTAAAGGCGTGCACCCCCATTGCCCGACTCATACTTGACTTTTTAATAAATCTTTCCCAGAAGTATAAATAATATATTTATAGTTTCTATATATTGGCTGCTCCGTTAGGACTAATAATAGAGATTTTATTGGGAAGAATTATGCCATTCTTAGCTTTGGAGAAATTGTATAAATTATAGTGACTTCACCTATGAGTAAAGCAGTTTTGCTTATAGTGTTTATATATTTTTAAGCTTTTT